GACACCATTAAACCTGTACACCCTGACCAGAACCAGAACCAGAACCAGAATATGACACCATTAAACCTGTACACCCTGACCAGAACCAGAACCAGAACCAGAACATGACACCATTAAACCTGTACACCCTGACCAGAACCAGAACCAGAACCAGAACATGACACCATTAAACCTGTACACCCTGACCAGAACCAGAACCAGAACCAGAACATGACACCATTAAACCTGTACACCCTGACCAGAACCAGAACCAGAACCAGAACATGACACCATTAAACCTGTACACCCTGACCAGAACCAGAACCAGAACCAGAACATGACACCATTAAACCTGTACACCCTGACCAGAACCAGAACCAGAACCAGAACATGACACCATTAAACCTGTACACCCTGACCAGAACCAGAACCAGAACCAGAACATGACACCATTAAACCTGTACACCCTGACCAGAACCAGAACCAGAACCAGAACCAGAACATGACACCATTAAACCTGTACACCCTGACCAGAACCAGAACCAGAACCAGAACATGACACCATTAAACCTGTACACCCTGACCAGAACCAGAACCAGAACCAGAATATGACACCATTAAACCTGTACACCCTGACCAGAACCAGAACCAGAACCAGAACATGACACCATTAAACCTGTACACCCTGACCAGAACCAGAACCAGAACCAGAACCAGAACATGACACCATTAAACCTGTACACCCTGACCAGAACCAGAACCAGAACATGACACCATTAAACCTGTACACCCTGACCAGAACCAGAACCAGAACCAGAACATGACACCATTAAACCTGTACACCCTGACCAGAACCAGAACCAGAACCAGAACATGACACCATTAAACCTGTACACCCTGACCAGAACCAGAACCAGAACCAGAACATGACACCATTAAACCTGTACACCCTGACCAGAACCAGAACCAGAACCTGGAGCATGACACCATTAAACCTGTACACCCTGACCAGAACCAGAACCAGAACCAGAATATGACACCATTAAACCTGTACACCCTGACCAGAACCAGAACCAGAACCAGAACATGACACCATTAAACCTGTACACCCTGACCAGAACCAGAACCAGAACCAGAACATGACACCATTAAACCTGTACACCCTGACCAGAACCAGAACCAGAACCTGGAGCATGACACCATTAAACCTGTACACCCTGACCAGAACCAGAACCAGAACCTGGAGCATGACACCATTAAACCTGTACACCCTGACCAGAACCAGAACCAGAACCAGAATATGACACCATTAAACCTGTACACCCTGACCAGAACCAGAACCAGAACCAGAACATGACACCATTAAACCTGTACACCCTGACCAGAACCAGAACCAGAACCAGAACATGACACCATTAAACCTGTACACCCTGACCAGAACCAGAACCAGAACCAGAACATGACACCATTAAACCTGTACACCCTGACCAGAACCAGAACCAGAACCAGAATATGACACCATTAAACCTGTACACCCTGACCAGAACCAGAACCAGAACCAGAATATGACACCATTAAACCTGTACACCCTGACCAGAACCAGAACCAGAACCAGAACATGACACCATTAAACCTGTACACCCTGACCAGAACCAGAACCAGAACCAGAACATGACACCATTAAACCTGTACACCCTGACCAGAACCAGAACCAGAACCAGAACATGACACCATTAAACCTGTACACCCTGACCAGAACCAGAACCAGAACCAGAACATGACACCATTAAACCTGTACACCCTGACCAGAACCAGAACCAGAACCAGAACCAGAACCAGAATATGACACCATTAAACCTGTACACCCTGACCAGAACCAGAACCAGAACCAGAACATGACACCATTAAACCTGTACACCCTGACCAGAACCAGAACCAGAACCAGAACCAGAACCAGAACCAGAATATGACACCATTAAACCTGTACACCCTGACCAGAACCAGAACCAGAACCAGAACCAGAATATGACACCATTAAACCTGTACACCCTGACCAGAACCAGAACCAGAACCAGAACATGACACCATTAAACCTGTACACCCTGACCAGAACCAGAACCAGAACCAGAACCAGAACCAGAATATGACACCATTAAACCTGTACACCCTGACCAGAACCAGAACCAGAACCAGAACATGACACCATTAAACCTGTACACCCTGACCAGAACCAGAACCAGAACCAGAATATGACACCATTAAACCTGTACACCCTGACCAGAACCAGAACCAGAACCAGAACCAGAATATGACACCATTAAACCTGTACACCCTGACCAGAACCAGAACCAGAACCAGAACATGACACCATTAAACCTGTACACCCTGACCAGAACCAGAACCAGAACCAGAATATGACACCATTAAACCTGTACACCCTGACCAGAACCAGAACCAGAACCAGAACATGACACCATTAAACCTGTACACCCTGACCGGAACCAGAACCAGAACCAGAATATGACACCATTAAACCTGTACACCCTGACCAGAACCAGAACCAGAACCAGAACATGACACCATTAAACCTGTACACCCTGACCAGAACCAGAACCAGAACCAGAACCAGAATATGACACCATTAAACCTGTACACCCTGACCAGAACCAGAACCAGAACCAGAACATGACACCATTAAACCTGTACACCCTGACCAGAACCAGAACCAGAACCAGAACATGACACCATTAAACCTGTACACCCTGACCAGAACCAGAACCAGAACCAGAACATGACACCATTAAACCTGTACACCCTGACCAGAACCAGAACCAGAACCAGAACCAGAACATGACACCATTAAACCTGTACACCCTGACCAGAACCAGAACCAGAACCAGAACATGACACCATTAAACCTGTACACCCTGACCAGAACCAGAACCAGAACCAGAACATGACACCATTAAACCTGTACACCCTGACCAGAACCAGAACCAGAACCAGAACATGACACCATTAAACCTGTACACCCTGACCAGAACCAGAACCAGAACCAGAACCAGAACATGACACCATTAAACCTGTACACCCTGACCAGAACCAGAACCAGAACCAGAACATGACACCATTAAACCTGTACACCCTGACCAGAACCAGAACCAGAACCAGAACATGACACCATTAAACCTGTACACCCTGACCAGAACCAGAACCAGAACCAGAACATGACACCATTAAACCTGTACACCCTGACCAGAACCAGAACCTGGAGCGTGACGCCATTAAAGCTCTACACCCTGACCAGAACCAGAACCAGAACCTGGAGCATGACACCACTGAACCTCTACACCCTGACCAAAACCAGAACCAGAACCAGAACCAGAACCTGGAGCACGCACCAAGTTATCAGCTGTTAAACAGGAAGAGGAACAGAGCAAAGCTAGCAGGTCCAAACCTGTTAAACTGGGAAAGGAGAAAAGACCAGAACCAGAACCAGAACCAGAACTTCACCAGAACCTGAAGCTCCCCCTCCAGCCTTCAGAGCAAACGGGTTGGTAAGGTCTCCTCCGGTTCTGCAGACCCTCAGTCCCACTGAGCCTCCGTCCCCGACAGGAACAGGAAGGAGTTCCTGCTTCCTGTCTGAGTCTGAGGAGGAAGAGGAGCAGCTAGCAGGAGCAGATCCTCCTACAGCTTCCTCAGCTCCTCACAGCTTCCCTCAGATGGAGCGGAGGAGGGAGGAGCATGTCACGGAGCAGGAGCCTCCTCCTTCATCCTCTAGATCACTTCATCACAGGATGGAGGAGAGCAGGAAGGGAGGGGCTGGTATAGGAAACCAGCCAATCAGAGGAGGGGAGGGCGGACGGGCCAATCAGCGATGAGTCAGGAGTGACATCATGAAAGCAAACTAATATTATTAAACTTTACTGCCTGCTTTAAAACATCTGATCAAACTAAAACGCATCGATTCATCTTTATTCCTGATCTCTACTTTTATCACTGACCTGAAATATTACAATAATAAAAATAAAAATAATAATAATAAAGAACAAAATAAAAAAAGAAACCATTGACTGGAAGCTGGAGGAGGTGCTTTGCCTCTAGGCAGAGCACCTCTTCCAGGGAGGCAGAGAGGACCTCCTTTAAGGAGGCAGTGGACCTCCTTAAGGGAGGCAGAGGACCTCAGAGCACCTCCTCCAGGCTCTCCCTCTGACCAGGAGGCGCAGCAGCTGCAGCTATGGATGCAAACTGAAGATTTAACCCCATCCTGACCAGAAGCTTTTAAAGATCTGGGAGGCGGGCCAGACTCCTCCTCCTGATGGAGGCTGACAGCTGCTCCTGAACCTCCAGGAGGAGAACCCCCCCCCATCAGCATAGCTCAGATTCATTCAGCTGTGAGTCACACCCAGGACCAGAACTAGAACGTATAGAGCAGAATAAGCAGGCTTTGTTCTGCTGCTTCTGGGTCTCAGACGTTCTAACTGCTAATCGGACCCCCCCACCCCCGGTACCGACCCGGTCCACTTCCCCCACCCTGAGCCCCGCAGACCACAGCTGCTGAACCAAATCAGCTGCGGAACCACGAGGAGAGCAGGGAGCCTGAGGAGGAGTCGGATCAACAGAAGCTCTTTGTCCTCCTCTCTCCATCACACAGCAGCTTCAGTTAGAACCGGGCCCAACCGGACCAGAACCCCTGGCATCACTCCAGCTCTCGGTTCTGCAGGAACTCGGCTCGCTCCGGTTCTGAATGCTCTGATGGCGACAGATGAAACAGGGACGGTTTACCTGGCGGACCGGTTCTGTCCCCGCGGAGCAGACGCTGCGTCCTCCTCCTCTGTCCTGTGACTGGGAGGACAGCAGCTGACACTCCTTCAAAATAAAAGCCCGGCTGCTATTTCCTGTCTTCCTGTGTCTTATCTGTAGCTGCTCTGACTTCCTGTTTGTGCTGCTGTGACTTCCTGTTCCAGGCGTAGCTGAAACTCCAGAACCTCGTCCAATCAGAACCCTGCAGCAGCTCTCACCTGACAGAGGAGACAGAACCATGTTCCCGGACCTCTGGACCTCGTCGAACTTACTGAAGATCATGTTGAGCCTGAAGGAAACAGAAGGAAGTCAGAAGGGAGACCAGAGGACCGCAGACATACGGGTCAGACAGGAAACGGACAGGACACGGACAGGACACGGACAGGAAGAGGAAGACTGATTGTGATCGTCTCCAGGACATTTTTGGACTGTTTACTGTTGTTCAATAAGGTCAGATCTATTCAGTTTATTTCTATAGCTCCAATTCCCATCATGTCATCTCAGGTCACTTTCCAGTTCACCAGATCATCCAGTCAGATTGATTCAAAGTTTTCTATCTAAGGAAAACCAGCTGATTGCATCGACTCATTGACTCTTCAGCAATCCCTCACACTAAGCATGCTTGTAGCGACAGTGGAGAGGAAAAACTCCCTTTGAACAGGAAGAAACCTCCAGCAGAACCAGAACAATCGTTAGGCTAACAGCTGTTCACTGAGTTAATTAAGTCACAAATAATGTCTTAGTTTATTACGAACAGGAAGACCGCAGCAGAAATAGGCTTTAAAATGTTTGACACTACAGCTAAGCTAACGTTAGCTTCAGTGTTTATAGTGAGGAAAGTGAGGCTTTAATAAACTCTGATTTGAACAGATGAAATTAACTTTCGGTGTTTATAAAAACGTCAGCTGATGACAGAGATGCTGGATTCAGAATGAAACGGTTAAAGACAGCAGAGCTTCGCCTGAAGATGCTTTGCTAACGTTCGTAGCCACAGCAGGAAAGAAAACAATGGAGAGTGTTTATTTCCTCAGGATGGCTGAGCCACAGAAAGTGGTCCGGAGGAGAGGAGGAGGACGGACCGCCGGGTGCCTCCTCATGCCACATTCAAAGTGTCTGAAATAAAACTCATCACTTTGGGAGCATCCTGCCTCCATGGTTATCATTCTGTTAACAGAGAGCACTTGAACGCACCGTGACTGAGGCAGCCCCTTCTTTCCCAGGTCGATCCTCACTCGCTCTCCAACATGGCGGTAGATCTCCACCAGACAGGACATGGCGGCGTCACGGACCTTCAGACCAACACAGAAACACAGCGGAGGGGTTAAAGGAGACACCGTCTGGCTGCACATGAGCCATGGGAGAAATTTTCATATTTAGTTTCATCAATTCAACATCAGAATCATTCAGGATTTTTCTGGGAGCTTTATGCTTCAGAAATGAAGCTTTTCCAGGATAGACATTATTTTAAATACATAAATAAATTATTCATATTATGAGAATAAAGTCATAAAAAGTTCAGGGGGTTTTCTGGGAGCTTTCGGCTTCAGGAAATAAAGCTGGTGGGCGCGGCTTCCTGTCCTGAACAGGAAGTCAGGCGGCAGTGATGACAAACGTCTGCAGCCAATCAGGAAACAGGAACAACCGGATCATCCAACAGGACAGCGAAGGATCGGATCCCAGCGGGAACTGATCTGCAGCTTCTTCTGGCGTCACTACTGAGCTGCAGTGTTCAGGTTTCACCAGCAGAGGGAGCTCAAAGATAACTAGTCGGCCTCTGAAACAGATGAACTGAAACTAAAAACCTGAATCTCTGCGCTTTGATCGGGGTGTTTCTGTGCAAAGCAGGAAAAAACTAAAAGATATAAATAAAAAAAAGTGTAATTATTATAATAAAATAAAAGCATGTAAAAAATAAATTAAAACAAAACACAACTAAAGATAAAAACAGATGAAGGGAAAAACAAAATGAAAATATAATCATAAAAATGTAAAGAAAATAATGCCCAAAATAAATCTATTGTAGATCTGGTAAGTCTGAGTCCTATGTATTCACATAGATCTATTCTTCCTAAAAGGTTTCCTCTGGTTTCTGGTTCATCAGGTGAAACTGAAGCTCCTGATCCGTCACAGACCCAGTCCAGAGCGGCGGCCCAGTCCCTGCTGGGAGGACCTGACCTAGGGGGCGCTGTTTGGAAAGTTCAGCAGTCAAACAGCAATATTTATGCTTATTAAGCGCATTTTAAGAGAAAAATAAGGAGGTTATTTTTTCCAAGTATTCATTGATTTATAAAAATATCACTTTGTTCAATAAATGAATGAATACTTGGAAAAAAAATAACCTTATTTTCCTCTTAAAACGCTAAATAACCATAAATATTGCTGCTAATGTTTTTCTGCCTAGCTTCCCAACGGCGCCCCCTAGCGGCGGCCCCACAGCGTCCTACCTGGCTGGTTGGGTCTCCCAGCAGGTTGCAGATGTGAGGAACGATCTTATTCAGCGTCAGACTCTGGGAGCCGAACCTGAAACAAAGAGCAGAGCGGGAGGTGAGGCGGCGGCGGCGATGGCGGCGGCGGCGGCGGCGCTTCTGAAACGGCTCCTCCTGCAGCCACTCACACGTTGAGGGTGGAGATGAGGCAGAGGCAGAGTCCCTCTCTGGTCCGGACGTTCTTGTGTTTGAATCCTCCCATCATGCGCTCCCACACATACTGCAGACACACAGCAGGTTTAAGCAGCGCCGCTGATCCGGCCCGGGAACCAGAACCGGGTCAGAACCTACCTGTGGGTTAGCTGACTGGTCCATGATCTTCAGCAGCAGCGCCTGGTCCTGCTCTCGGACCTGGTCCTTGGAGTCTCCCAGTCGATCCATCAGACTCGGCAGGACTGGGACCACAAGCAGAGACGGTCAGATGGTGCATTCAATGACAACTCGTAAACTGGGGTTCCAAACTACAAACTTTTTTATTTATTTCTTATAATCTATATAATTTCCTTCAAGTTTCTTAAATTTTATCATTTTATTTTAATTATTAATCAATATCTGGTCAATAAAATTTTTATTCTATTTCCCAAATAGTTATTTTCATTCATGTTTTTTTTAAATCACTTTTAATTATTTTGATTTCATTTTAGACCAATCATCTAATTTAATTATTCATTTAATTGAAATCAGCTTAAATGGGACCAGAACCAGAACTTTGCTCCAGATCGGTCACTTTTTATCTAATTATTACCGTAATAACTGCCTTATACGGCTGCAGTTTGCTGCAGCTACTGCTGCCCTGGAGTTGACCAATCAGAGGAGACTGTGATGTCATCGGCTTTAGAAGTTCTCACCTGTTCCCACCTGCGTCCTGAACCTCTCCTGCAGCCGGTCCACCAGAGCTGACAGAACCTCCATGCCTAACAGAACCACCTGGGACAAAAACAAACCGTCATCCAGCTGGAAACCATAGACTTTATATACATGCTTAGAGGGCGGCCATCTTGGATCAGATCACAGTTCATCAGCAGCTGCCAGAATAAATAGGAGGGACCTTTGATATCATGCTAATCACAGGAAAGACGAGTCAGAGTTTATATTACAGTAATCTCTGACATGTTAGAACACCTTAAAAGTTATTTATTAAATGACCTTTCAGTTAGATTAATATATTTATTCAGATTAAAATGATTTAACTGAAGTCAAACTGGATGAGATAAATGCAAAGTTATATAGTTTGGAACGAAATATAAATATGATAAACACAAAGTTTTATATTATTATATCATAATATAATTTTTTTTACAAATATTATATATTTATAAGGTATATTATTAAGGTATAATATTATTATTCAGCACTTTTAAGGATTGCCCTTTGATAATGAGTATTATTATCTATAGAGAAATTTTTGTTGTAATTTACAATAGAGAATAAAGTTATTATTTTGTTTTATTTAAATGAATTTTGTTAATTTTTATTTTTTTTTTGTCAGACTTAATTTTTTGTTATTTCATGAATGGAAAATGTATGTTGTGTCTAACTAAAGGCGTTTTTATCTAAACTTCTTCCAAAACTCTTTTCTTAATTAATTATGCATATGTGAACATTTGTTCTTTAATCAGTTAATTTGTGTCATATATAACATATTTATTTATTCATATTATAAAATTAGTTTTGGTTTTTTGAGTGGTTGTGATATGTAAGAGATTATTGTAATATTATCTCTGACTCTTTCCTGTGATTAAATGAGATCTAAGGCGCCTCCTGTTCATTCTGACAGCGGCTGTCTGAACTGTGGTCTGATCCAAGATGGCTGCCATCCAGGCACGTCGGCCAGCGTCATAAGAGCGTAATGTCTAAGCTGGAAACACCCTCTTAACCGATACGGCCAATAGGAGCAGAGCAATGCCGCAAAGGACGCTGGGTAATGAGCACATAACAGCAAAAAGACATGAAAAAAACTACAAACCGAGCTGAAGGACCGACTTTAAAGCAGCAGGAACAGATCATAAAGGAGGAGGCTGCCAGTCTGTGGCCGGGAAATGGCTTTAGGATCGGAACCATGACTGAGAAAGAAGCTCACTCTGCTCTAGAACCTCTCTAAGACTCGTGGGCGTAACCTTCCTTGTCTCGGGGTGGTTCGGGAATCTCAATGAACGTATAGTGAGAGTTTCCCTGCTAACACCGAATCAACACATTCGCATCACCTGAACGATTCAGTTCGGGAACGGTGCAATTTTTGGAACAAACATCTGTGATTCACAGAGAAAACAAACGTAAAATAAAAAGATATCATTATTCCGGAAATGCCAGAAAAAATCCACTTCAAAATAAAAGCAGCGCATGTCATCAGCCTTTCATTTTCTCTGGGGTTATAATTTCTTTAATTTGCTTTTATTTTCTTCAGTCTATAAATAGGGTTCAGATGCAAACATTTCCATCTGAATTTTTTGAATCTGATCAGGAGAACCTGGGAGCTGTTCCTCCATGATGACCTCCTCTCCCTGCAGCTGGACTGCAGTTAGCCTCTGTGGCCACCAGGAGGCTAACTCTGCTCCCAGCTTGCTTCTGTGGGCGCGAACGTGATTCGGTGGCGCCATCTTGGGGCGGTCGACAGCTCCGCTCAGTGTAATGTGTTCAGCAGGAGCAGAATCAATTTTAATAAACTTTAACTTTCTGAATATTAAATTAGTTTTCACTGTTTTGTTTTTGTTTTTTGCTGAAAACAAATGTTTGAGTTTATTTAAATATTCTTAGCGGGGTTAAGAGTCATAAAGTACTCTGATAGGATGGATGCATGTTGCAAAGCACAGCCACTTATACATTTTTATTTTTTATAACTATATACACCAAAATATTTAAACATGTATACACAAATATATATGCACATCTCTCTCTCTATATATATATATATATATATATATATATATATATATATATATTTTATCTGTCACTTATCCAGTTATTTTTATACTTTTTAAGGTCAAAATTTTAGTGACCATTTTTGCTGTAATCTTTTTGCTGCTGTAACGCCACGATTTACAAACTGTGGGACAATAAAGGGATTTCTATTCTATCCTCTATCTATCTATCTATCTATCTATCTATCTATCTATCTATCTATCTCTATCTATCTATATATATATATATATATTTATATATATATGCTGTTTATTCAGTAATGTAAAAGCTCTGATTACTACACCAAGTTATCTCTCGAACCGTCCGTCGATTCAAACTAGAATACGCTGCAGTGCTGAGGCTAGAGCAGCAGGTTGACCTCCCCAAGATGGCGGCTGTAATTCCGGAGCAGAGCCAGTCAAAGCGGGTCTAGTCTTTTGTCTATGGTGGCATCTGTCCCTCTCTCTCCTCTCAGAGCAGCTGACTTCCTGTCAGGCTGTAAACCGGTCACAGAGGGAAGGAAACTGGGCTGATGGGGAAGTTAATCAGGCTCAGCCGCCTGGGAGGAGCTCCGTCCTCCTTCCAGCAGACTGATCCGTCTACCAGAGGACGGATCTGTCCCACAGCTCAGAACAGGTTCTGAAGCTGCTGGTTCGGTGGGAATAAAGACGACCATCAGAAGTTCTTCCTCCCCCTGATGATCCAGCTTTGATCCTGAACTGGAAGCTTTAACGTTCCTCCAGCTGCAGAGAAATGATCTAGACCCACTGTCAGAGCAGGAGACACCTAACCATGGACCTGTAGCGTCCACAGCCAGTGGACAGAGACAGCAGCCAGTGGACAGAGACAGCAGCCAGTGGACAGCAGCCAGTGGACAGAGACAGCAGCCAGTGGACAGCAGCCAGTGGACAGAGACAGCAGCCAGAGACAGCAGCCACAGGACAGAGACAGCAGCCAGAGACAGCAGCCAGTGGACAGAGACAGCAGCCAGTGGACAGAGACAGCAGCCAGTGGACAGAGACAGCAGCCACAGGACAGAGACAGCAGCCAGTGGACAGAGACAGCAGCCAGTGGACAGAGACAGCAGCCACAGGACAGAGACAGCAGCCAGTGGACAGCAGCCAGTGGACAGAGACAGCAGCCAGTGGACAGCAGCCAGTGGACAGAGACAGCAGCCAGAGACAGCAGCCACAGGACAGAGACAGCAGCCAGAGACAGAGACAGCAGCCAGTGGACAGAGACAGCAGCCAGTGGACAGCAGCCAGTGGACAGAGACAGCAGCCAGTGGACAGCAGCCAGTGGACAGAGACAGCAGCCAGAGACAGCAGCCACAGGACAGAGACAGCAGCCAGAGACAGAGACAGCAGCCAGAGACAGAGACAGCAGCCAGTGGACAGAGACAGCAGCCAGTGGACAGCAGCCAGTGGACAGAGACAGCAGCCAGTGGACAGCAGCCAGTGGACAGAGACAGCAGCCAGAGACAGCAGCCACAGGACAGAGACAGCAGCCAGAGACAGAGACAGCAGCCAGTGGACAGAGACAGCAGCCACAGGACAGAGACAGCAGCCACAGGACAGAGACAGCAGCCAGTGGACAGAGACAGCAGCCAGTGGACAGAGACAGCAGCCACAGGACAGAGACAGCAGCCAGTGGACAGCAGCCAGTGGACAGAGACAGCAGCCAGAGACAGCAGCCAGTGGACAGAGACAGCAGCCAGTGGACAGAGACAGCAGCCAGTGGACAGCAGCCAGTGGACAGAGACAGCAGCCAGTGGACAGCAGCCAGTGGACAGCAGCCAGTGGACAGAGACAGCAGCCAGAGACAGCAGCCAGTGGACAGAGACAGCAGCCAGTGGACAGAGACAGCAGCCAGTGGACAGAGACAGCAGACAGTGGACAGAGACAGCAGCCAGTGGACAGAGACAGCAGCCAGAGACAGCAGCCAGTGGACAGAGACAGCAGCCAGTGGACAGAGACAGCAGCCAGAGACAGCAGCCAGTGGACAGAGACAGCAGCCAGTGGACAGAGACAGCAGCCACAGGACAGAGACAGCAGCCAGTGGACAGAGACAGCAGCCAGTGGATGCTGCATTAGACCAAAGGGCCACAGGGACAGAAGGTCTCTGCTGGAGGACAGCTGGCTGCTAGGCATCATGGGACGTGTAGTTCTAACACAGAGAAATCACACCCTGACTCCTCACCCAGAACTACAACACAAGGAATGAATGGATGAATGATGGATGAATGGATGAATGATGGATGAATGGATGAATGATGGATGAATGATGGATGAATGCATGATGGATGAATGGATGAATGATGAATGGATGAATGATGAATGGATGGATGAATGGATGAATGATGAATGGATGGATGAATGATGAATGGATGAATGATGGATGAATGGATGAATGATGGATGAATGATGAATGGATGGATGAATGATGAATGGATGAATGATGGATGAATGATGAATGGATGGATGAATGATGAATGGATGAATGATGGATGAATGGATGAATGATGGATGAATGGATGAATGATGAATGGATGAATGATGGATGAATGGATGAATGATGAATGGATGAATGATGAATGGATGGATGAATGATGAATGGATGAATGATGGATGAATGATGAATGGATGAATGATGGATGAATGATGGATGAATGATGAATGGATGAATGATGAATGGATGGATGAATGATGAATGGATGAATGATGGATGAATGATGGATGAATGGATGGATGAATGATGAATGGATGAATGATGGATGAATGGATGAATGATGGATGAATGGATGAATGATGGATGGATGAATGATGGATGAATGGATGAATGATGAATGGATGAATGATGAATGGATGGATGAATGATGAATGGATGAATGATGGATGAATGGATGAATGATGAATGGATGAATGATGAATGGATGGATGAATGATGAATGGATGAATGATGGATGAATGGATGAATGATGGATGAATGGATGAATGATGGATGAATGATGGATGAATGCATGATGGATGAATGGATGAATGATGAATGGATGAATGATGAATGGATGAATGATGGATGAATGGATGAATGGATGATGGATGGATGAATGGATGAATGAATGGATGAATGGATGATGGATGGATGAATGGATGAATGAATGGATGAATGGAAGATGAATGATGGATGGATGAATGGATGAATGGATGAATGAATGGATGATGGATGGATGAATGGATGAATGAATGGATGAATGGAAGATGAATGATGGATGGATGAATGGATGAATGGATGAATTAATGGATGAATGGATGCATGGATGAATGATGGATGAATGGATGATGAATGGATGGATGAATGGAAGATGAATGATGGATGGATGAATGGATGAATGGATGAATGAATGGATGAATGGATGCATGGATGAATGGATGAATGAATGGATGGATGAATGGATGAATGGATGAATGAATGGATGAATGGATGGAAGATGAATGATGGATGGATGAATGGATGAATGGATGAATGAATGGATGAATGGATGGAAGATGAATGATGGATGAATGAATGAATGGATGAATGGATGGATGAATGAATGGATGGATGAATGGATGGATGAATGGAAGATGAATGATGGATGGATGAATGGATGAATGGATGAATGGATGAATGAATGGATGAATGGATGGAAGATGAATGATGGATGGATGAATGGATGAATGGATGAATGAATGGATGAATGGATGGATCTTTAAACCACACTCTGAAGACCAATGAGCAGCTAATCCCAGAACCAGTTTGACCCGTTAAAGAGTCCAAAGCTCACCTTGTAGTTGCTGGAGTTGACCCAGGAGCCGGCCAGGGCGTCCACCATCCTGTCCAGCAGGTTCTGGTTCTGGTCCTGGTCCAGTCCAGGACAGCGCTCCTGGCTGAGGACCAGCTGGCTGATCTCCTGACCCACCTGCAGCCTCCTGCCCAGGTCCTTCTGTAGAAGCAGCTCCAGCAGGGACTCCATGCTGCTCACCTCCTCCTCATCCTCATCCATGGCTGCTCCTGGTTCTGGTTCCGGTTCTGGTTCTGGGGTCTATCACAGTGAGGCGTCCTGCAGAGGAGGGACGCTCCTCATCCTCCTTCCAGAACCTGGTTCTGCTGCTGGACAGTAACCGGCTAGTTAGTAGGTTAACTAGTCGGTATCCATAGATCTGGACCTGCTGATAAATCCTATAGTTAAGGACTAACTATTAACTAGTCAGCAGGTTAACCTGCAGGTTAACCCATTAACCCTGGATCCAGACCAGCAGCTTCTAGCTAACACATGTCTAGTTAGGAATCTTTATTCTAACTATAAACAGTTAACCAGGTTAACTAGCGGCTTTACTGAGTCTCCTCCCTGATCAGAACTACCAGTCTGGTTGTAACCTATAAGTTACTCTGTGATTTAACTCTCACTAGCAGCTGGTTAGCTGGTAAACCTGCAGGTTAACCACAGAGCAGCTAGCTGCGGCGGCTAACTGAGCGGCTAGCATTGCTGTTAGCATTCAGGGCTAACCGGACTAGCATGGATCCACAGCGGCTCCGTTAGCGGGACCTACCTGTCTGTCCGGCTCAGTGCGGTGGTTATTAACCCGGTGAGCGGCTCCTGGCTCCTGGCTCTGGAACCGGATGGACGGAGCGGATCCCTGGAAGTAAAGCAGCCCGGAGAGGCGATGCTGCCTCTGGCCGCAAACTACCGTTACTTCCCTTCAGTGGCCAGCAGCTCCCCACCGTTCACCTCCACAAACCAACACCGACTCTGCTTCAGTTCATCAGAGGCTGAACTTTAGCTTCACTAACGCCGCATTAGAGGTTAATAACCGGAGGATCAAAGATTTATCCATAAAACTTTAAATATTTTAACCCGCAGAGTCAATGCAGCCGCAGAACGATGACACCTGGTGGCTGAAATGAGACACTACACTCTACATGAGGCGCTTCTGTTTTTTTATCTAAAGCTGCAACTTTTTCTTTAATGTATGAAAAAAAAAACTGTAAATATGTTTTTGAAGTATTATTTCAATTTAATATGAGAAAAAGGGGGAAATGTCAGAATTCTAACATTAAAGCCAAAATTCTCAGGCAAAAGTCAGAGAAAAAACATAATTTTGAGACTAAAGTCAGAATTCTGAAGGGTGGAAAAAAAAATCAGAATTCTGACTTTTTTCCCATATTAAGCTGAAATTAAATTTAAAAATCAATTACCTTTTTATTTTTTCAGTGGCCCTCATCCTCTTCCATACATTTCTGCCACTCTGTTAAAATATTATATAAATTGTCTCATTATAATAAGATAGTATCTCAAAATTATGATATATCTGATTATACTTTAAAAATGTATTTTATATTTTAACAGTGGGGGAATAATGCAACCAAGAAAAAACAAACTGATAAATTATGAATCAATAATGATGATTAATAACCATGTAACTAACTGATGTAAACATAACTAATAGTTTTATAGTCAGTGACTTTCCAGATAAAAAGAAAACCTTTGGAAAAGCTAAACACTGACAGATATGAGATAAAAGATTATCTAGCTGCTTCAGGTTGGTCCAGTTAGAGCCACAGAATGATTACTGGAAATGGGTCAGCCATGGCTCCCAAAGGTCCACAGAACATGCAGATTAGGAAATGTGGGTCATTTTTAGAGGCCGCTGTGACATCACTGAAGAGGACCATTGGAGACTGCAGATTAAAAGATTTCTGGCGGTAACTCAGGTTCCCTGCTAAAGTGACCGATCAACTCCTGCTTTCACTGCAGGGAGTCTGCGTCATGGAGGACGGCGATCCGATGATCCCGGTCAGAACTCCTCTCCAGGTTCTTCTCTGGTCCACAGGTATTTTAGGATGCAGGAAATACGGGATGATTGGATGGAAATGATTAAGAAGCAAAAGGAAAAAAAATGTTTCCAGTAATTTAAAGTTAGGAACTCTTCAAATTTTTACTTTAAACCACAAACTTTAGAGCATTTTAATGGAGCCTCTAAATAAAACCCAATTCTATTCAGTGTATTTCTATAGCTCCAATTCACATCAGGTCACTGTATAGATCCAGTTCACCAGATCATCCAGTCAGATTGATTCAAAGTTTTCTATCTAAGGAAAACCAGCTGATTGCATCGACTCATTGACTCTTCAGCAATCCCTCACACTAAGCATGCTTGTAGCGACAGTGGAGAGGAAAAACTCCCTTTTAACAGGAAGAAACCTCCAGCAGAACCAGGCTCAGTGTGAGCGGCCATCTGCTGAGGCCCACTGGGGTTCAAGGAGACAGAAGCAGACATAGAAAAAGGAAAAAGGGGTCCCTATGTCCTCCAGCAGTCTAAGCCTATAGCAGCAGAACTATAGAGATAGATCAGGATAACCTGAGCCACTCTAACTAGAAGCTTTATCAAAAAGGAAAGTTTTAAGCCTAGCCTTAAAAGTAGACAGGGTGTCTGCCTCACGGACTAAAACTGGTAGTTGGTTCCACAGGAGAGGAGCCTGAGAACTAAAAGATCTGCCTCCCATTCTAGGAACATCAGGAACGATGCTCCTTTTTTAATGTTTAATGAGTTACAGAGATCAAGATCAGACGAAGAACTCTTCATTCAGACGTTTATTCTTTTACATTTTTACAAATCTGGAAACAAAAGTGCAAAGGAGTGAGTTCTGTCAGAGCAACGGTTTGGATGATCTGAAGATTAGCTTCGTTTTAGGTTCACAGGGTTAAAATCCCTCCACTCTTCCACAGACTGTGTTCCAGTTCATATGCAGCATCAGCAGCTTCACCACAGAGAAAAACACCACAGAGAGGAACCAAAGATGAACACTGAGGTGGAGGAGTGGCGTCTGGAGGCGGGTGGAGCTAAATCACCTAAGAACCAAGCTGCTACAGGCGAGCGTCAGGATCAGCAGGTCGTCCAACGATGGCATCAGAAATATGGCAACAATCAAACTACAGGAAGGCAGGATCACATCCATACATGTTAAATAAAGCCATGAAATAATGCTGATAAAATGAACTAAACTGGTCCCAGTTATTGACCTCCAGCCATCACTGGTCCCTCTCCTTCTGCTTTAATGAGGAAGCAGGAGGATGATGATGCTCGGTGAGGGGGGGGGCAGCTCCATCAGTCTGTGCTCAGTTAAACATGATGGACTCTGGATCCTGGTTCATCATCTGGGCCATGTGGCGCAGGACGTCCTTCTTGGTGATGATGCCCAGGAGACGCCTGCAGGGACAGTTTATCACAGTTACTACTTAGACCGAATTAAACTATCTAAAACTGAGACTAAACACAAATATCCGGACTATTAATTAAATCTCATTAACAGAATAAGTTTAAAACTGAAAAATTAACCCCTGCAGGGCAGTATACAAGCTGATATCTGATTACAGAAAGGACCAAAGCACAGTCACATAGTGTTTCATCCACACACCTTTCAAAGTGGGGCTTTAAAATTTCTAAAACATGTTTCAAAATATTTTTTTTTTTTCACAAAAACTGAGATTAAAGTCAGAATTCTGAGATTAGAAACGGGATTCTGACATTTATTCCCATATTAAAGGGAAATAATATGTGAAAAACATGTTAAATATTTATATATATATTTTTTTAGTGGCCCTAATGCTCTTCCGTAGAAATGGGTTTCTGTACATTATAGACAAAGTTGCAGCTTTAAAGAAAAAAGCCCTGCGGGCCCGGTACCATACGACACCTGCTCATGTTTATCTATTTATAGAAATGGCCCAAGCACAGTCACATGGTGTTTCATCCACACACCTTTGAAAATGGGGCTTTAAAATTTCTAAAAAAAAAGCCTGGCGGGCCTGGTACCGTAGAGACCTACGGAGCCCCTGAAGGGACATGGAGGGAAAAAAAAAACTTTTGCGAGATCCCGCAATAGTTTATTTTTTGAGAGATCCCGCAATACTTTTGTGAGATCCCGCAATAGTTTTGCGAGATCTCGCAAAAGTATTGCGGGATCTCACAAAAGGTTATTTTTTGCGAGATCTTGCAAAAGTTTTGCGGGATCTTGCAAAAGTTTATTTTTTGAGAGATCTCGCAATACTTTTGTGAGATCCCGCAATACATATGCAGGATGTCGCAATACTTTTGCGAGATCCTGCAATAGTTTTGCGAGATCTCGCAATACTTTTGTGAGATCTAGCAATAGTTTTGCGAGATCTAGCAATAGTTTTGCGAGATCTCGCAAAAGTATTGCGGGATCTTGCAAAAGTATTGCGGGATCTCATAAAAGTTTATTTTTTGCGAGATCTCGCAAAAGTTTTGCGGAATCTTGCAAAAGTTTATTTTTTGAGAGATCTCGCAATACTTTTGTGAGATCCCGCAATAGTTTTGCGAGATCTCGCAAAAGTTTATTTTTTGCTTATCTATTTACAGAAACGACCAAAGCACAGTCACATGGTGTTTCATCCACACGTCTTTCAAAATGGGGCTTTAAAATTTATAAAAAATGTTTCAAAATAATTTTTTCCAAGTGCTTTTTGTTTTATAGCTGCATAAACAAATAAAATGTGCTTTAAAATCCCACCTGACATGTGACTCTGCAGGAGTAATGCAACAGCAGGTATTGATCTTTAGCCCCGCCCCCTAATGGCCGCCATCATTGGAAACTAGAGACTCAGACCTTTCCAAGGAGGGGTCAGAGGTCATTGTGGGACCATTCAGACCATTTTTCCCATAATTTTGCCACTTTAGACATTGCGCTGAAATCCCATTTCCTCCTATCACTCTACTCACTAAAACCTTTATGGAACAAACATCCATAAACTGATTCAGTCCAGATTAGCTTGAGTTCTAGTCCAGATGTGGATCTATAAAGTCTGAGGTTCATCCAGAGTTTCTCATGAGCTTCCATGGTTTTTATTTTGGAAAACTTCCTATTTTGTTTTCATTTTTTCTTTGTTTAATCACCTATAAATCAGACGGGGTGACATTTAAAATAGTGGTTCCACCTGGAAAATATTCCTAAATGCCTTTCTGTCACACAAATAAAAACAATTCTATTTCCAATTTATAGGTTGGGAGCTGAAATTGCTTGAATTTATGTAATTTCAGGTGGAAATTGCTCCTAAGACCCTCTGGGCTTAAAGGGTTAAGTGACTATTTTAAAAACCTGGAACATATAAATAGATATACTAGTCTTTGGCCACTAGATGGAGCTGTTTCACTCCTTAAAAAAGGAGTTTATTTCGTTTTTCCACTATTATTTTGAATTTTTTTTGCAGATTAAATAAAAAAGGTAATAAAAAGCATAGACTAAAAGATAAAATCTTTAAACTTCAAACTGTAGTGATTCCTCTATTATCAAATGAAGCCGGACTGACCCGCTCCGGGTGACCAGGCACTGCCGGAGGCCCAGTTTACGGAAGATGTCCACCACCGTCTCCATGGGGGTGTGGTCGGTGACGGTGAAGGGGCTCAGGTTGAGGATGCGCCGCAGCTTCAGCGGCTGAGGGTTGCTGGCCGGCAGCTGCGGTGCGTCCTCGGTGAAGTACACCACGGAGCTGCTCACCACGCCGTCCTGCTTCTGCCGCGCGTTTTCTAAAAACAGATATCATGATTTCCACCTGTAGGAAAACACAGATCCGTGCCGGTCATGCTAAGACACGTACTGATGGCGAGGGTGAGGTCTCTGCGTTGAACGAAGCCGATCAGCCTCTCCGACTCCCGGGACACGACCACCGGGAAGCCGTTGTAGTCCGTGTCTTTGATGAGCGTCTCCACATCCTCCACGGTGGTGCTGTCCTGCGTGAGGACGGCCAGGGGAGGGTCGTTCCGGCGGGGCCGCATCACGTCGGTGGCCAGGGTGCGGTGCGTGAACTCGTCCCTTACGTCCAGGTAGGGGTAGCCGTTAAGCTGGATGTGAGACTCGTAGATGCCCTCCTTCCCAAAGGCGTCAGCCACCCACTTACTGGTGACGGCGGCGGCCATGAGAGGGACGATGTACTCCAACCCGCCCGTGAGCTCGAACATGATGACCACCAGGGAGACGGTCATCCTGGTGACCCCACCTGAACAGATCCAACAGAGGTAAGACGCGGACGAGACGTAGAGCCTCTCAGAGTGTCTCTAGTGTTTGTTGACTCACCCAGACAGGCAGCGGCGCCCACCATGGCGTACAGCCCCGGCGTGACGCAGTCTGCGCCAGGCCGACACCAGTTCTTGAAGATAATCCAGTCATGGTGGTGGTACGCCATCTGCTCCACGGCGATACCAACGATGCGCCCAGCGATGGCTCCCACAGCCATGCTGGGAATGAAGAGTCCGGATGGGATCTGGGAAGGATGGGAGAGGCTAGGTGGGTTATCGGCTAAATGACTGAAAGGACACCTGAGGACCGGACCGGAGCAAACCTTCATGCCAAAGGTGAAGATGGTGATGACGATCTTGAAGATGAGGGCGAGGGTGAGCTGCCACATGGCGTTGTAGACCCCAGGCCCGGCCGGGCGGTCTGGAATGTCGTCCACCGGCCGACTCATGTTGGGATTGCTGATGTAGTCGCAGAGCTGGGAGGACTCCAGAGCGCCGCAGTCGTTGAAGAGCTCCGAGATGAGCTCGCTGGTGCTGCGCCGGGTGTACGGGTTCGGGTACGCCAGCAGGGTGGTGATTCCCGTCACGGCGATCACCTCCAGGACGGGGTACTTCCCCAGCTGGGTGGTCTTCCTGCAGCGGCACCAGGCGATGTTGGCGCGGATGAACAGCGTCCCCCAGAGGCCGCCGAACACCCCCAGCAGGATGAAGGGGACCAGCTCGGCCATGTACCAGGGGGTGTGGTACTCCACATAGAACAGCACCAGGCGGCTGTTTCCAAACGGGTTGATGGAGCGCAGCGTGAAGGCGGCGACCAGAGCGGCAAAGAAGGAACGCCACAGGGTCTTCAGAGGGAAGTAATAACTCACCTGCAGGAGAGAAGCAAAGGGTTTAGACCCGGGGAGGGCAATTCCAGTTCCTGATTGTCGGTACCCTGCAACTTTTAGATGTGCCTTTGGTTCGACACACCTAAATCAAGTAATTTGATGATTGAGAGAACTGACTGCACGCTGAGGAGGTAACCGTTTGATTCAGGTGTGTTGGACCAAGGATAGATCTTAAGAGAGAGAACAAAGTGAGATCTAGAGAAAACAGATCCTAACCAACCTCTTCCAGGCTGAACAGAACGCCTCCAATCGGGGCTCCAAAGGCCACCGAGACGCCGGCCGCCGCCGCCGCTGACAACACCTGCAGGGTGACGACACGAGAAATGAGAAACTGACTTTACCGCACAGGAGACCAGAACTTTATATCATTATTTTATTAATAACTGTAGGGTTTATTTCCTTTTCTCTCTGCTGAACAGATTCAGTTCGGTTGTTTATGTAGAGATTTTTATGTCTCCTCGTCACGCTGCCGGTTACACCCATATCCCCACCGTGGGACCATAAAACCCTTTCTTATCTTATCTTATCATCTTCAACAACAACAGACGTTATTTTATTTCAGTTCGTTTATACTGTAGATTCTCACAGAGGACCTTAGAACGGGGACTGGAAGTCGAGGTTTTTGCCAGACAGCAATACAACTTTATACGTTTGATCACATCTGAATGAAAACAGAGACCTTCTTCTGACATATAAAACCCGAAATTACCAAATCTCCTTCTGATATCAGAGAACGGATGGTTCCTTATGTTCCTAAGAGAAAAGTTCTGTCTACTTTTAAGGCTAGGCTTAAAACGTTCCTTTTTGATAAAGCTTCTAGTTAGAGTGGCTCAGGTTATCCTGATCTATCTCTATAGTTCTGCTGCTATAGGCTTAGACTGCTGGAGGACATAGGGACCCCTTTTTCACCATTCTGCTTCATTCTATCTCTATAGTTGCTGGTGAAGATTCTCAGTCAGGTCATAGTCGTTCCAAAAAAGTAAAAAATAAAAAAAAAACAATCCACTGGACTTTGTTTCCAAGTTTTGAAGACGTTTTGCTTCCCATCCAGGAAGCTTTTGGAGTTAGGAAGCTCTAACGACCCCCCCTTTCAGAGACATTGACAGGTATCCTGTATTACAGGCTAAAAAAGGAGCCAAACAACCCCCATTCCTAAGGAGCGGGTCCAGTTCAGTTTGCATGTTTTTAATCCAAAACAAGGTTTTGTTTTTGGTCAACCCTATAAAGTCTAGAACTCAACGATATTCCTGACATTTTGAATTGAAAAAGCTTCCTGGATGGAAGAGAAACGTCTTCAAACTTGGAAACAAAGTCCAGTGGTCTGTTTTTTTTTTTTTTTACTTTTTTTGGAATATCTGTATAATTATGCTGCTATAGGCTCAGACCGCCGGAGGACATAGGGACCCCTTTTCATCGTTCTGCTCTCTCTGCTTTTTCTCATAGTAGCTTCATCTGGTCTGTTCCTGTTTGGCTGTGACTCCATCCTGGAGAGAAATATCAGCTGTGCTGCTGCCATCAACACCTTTGTTTCTAGATGATGGAGCTTGGCCTGTTTTCCAGTGTAGTCCTGTTTCTCTCCTAGACGTAGCTATGGGCTCAGCTTTTACTGGGATCTGCTCTCTTTCATCATTTGGCATGAAAACTGGCTTAGAGCTCTAGATCAGAGCTTCTATGCTTCTTTTTCTATGTCTGCTTCTGTCTCCTTGAACCCCAGTGGGCCTCAGCAGATGGCCGCTCACACTGAGCCTGGTTCTGCTGGAGGTTTCTTCCTGTTCAAAGGGAGTTTTTCCTCTCCACTGTCGCTTTGGACAGAGTCAGAAAAACATGACGATCAAATATTTTTCCATCCGTATCAAAGTTCTGCAAAATGAAAATTTAAAAAAACCTGCGAATTTCACACGGAACCGAATGCTACAGTGAGACGGGTCCAAATGGACCCATCAGAACCAGCTAACACGGCAGCAGCTCACCTCCCGCCTCTTGCCCTCGTTCTTGCTGTACTTGGAGAAGAGGCTGCAGAAGAGGTTTCCACAGCAACAGGCCACGTGGACCAGAGGACCCTCCTTCCCCAGGCTGAGACCCGACGACACGGCCAGAACCAGAGTGACGGTCTTTATCAGCAAGGTCCACTTCCCCAGGTATCCCCGGATTATAAACCCACTCAGGATGGTCTTAATCTGCAGCAAAGCACAACAGAACATTTTCCTCCTGACACCGATCCAAACACAGGACAATGAAGCAGACGCCGCTCGGGTACCTCTGGGATTCCTGACCCGCAGGCGTACGGGGCGAACACCCGGACCAGGCTCACCGCCAGGAAGGAGAACAGCAGCGCCCACAGGATGTACAGGAAGTAGTTCAGCAGGTACGCCCCGGCTCCCTGCAGATATGGAAACACACGTCAAAGCAAACCGGGACGCCATCAGGAACAACGCCCCCATCCGATCCGGTCTTACCTCGGTGTGGCCCGTCATTAGCTCCGCCCACTTCTGCCACTGTGGACACTTGTCCCGGTCGTCGAAGGTGGTCTGGTTGGACGTCCAGCAGCACTGCTCGTGGCTGTACCAGAAGGCCGAGAGGCAGACGCCCTCCTTCAGGTCCGTCATCCAGTCCACCGCCAGGTCGATCACACCGGCCAGCGTACCTGCAGGGCGAGACGACCCAGATCGGTACCAGGGGGCCGGGAGGGGGCCAGCGTGTTTTCATGGGGGCCCAGAAAAGCATGAAACAAAAAAAAACAGGGCAAGACATTCAAATAAGAGAGCTGCATGAAGGGACATTTCCATTCAGCTAGGTTAATTAAAATTCAAGGTCTTCCAATTGAAAATATTTATTTTTGGCCTTAAAATGTTCATTTGTAAAAAAAGTGAACTGATTTTTAAGTATCATTTTCGCTTAATATGGGAGAAAAAGTTAGAATTCTGACTTTAATCTGGCCTGGCTGTGTGTTTCCTGGACGGGGCCGCCTGTGGAGCTGGTTGACAGTTGCCTTTTGTATCTATGCTTCTTTTTCTATGTCTGCTTCTGTCTCCTTGAACCCCAGTCGGCCTCAGCAGATGGCCGCTCACACTGAGCCTGGTTCTGCTGGAGGTTTCTTCCTGTTCAAAGGGAGTTTTTCCTCTCCACTGTCGCTACAAGCATGCTTAGTGTGAGGGATTGCTGAAGAGTCAATGAGTCGATGCAATCAGCTGGTTTTCCTTAGATAGAAAACTTTGAATCAAACTGACTGGATGATCTGGTTGATCTGGATCTATAAAGTGACCTGAGATGACATGATGTGAATCGGAGCTATAGAAATAAACTGAATAGAATTTAAAATCTGTTCACTTCAGATGTAAAAATTAGAATTTATTTTTTATGTTTTGAAAAAAACAACCCACTGAAGCTATCACCTCATTGTTTTTAAATAATTAGTAAAATTGAAGGAGCTATCAGTAACTGTGTCAGATCATCATTAGCATTTCTTTGAGTATTATGTCTTTAGTACAGGGGCCATATCAGGGGCCATATCAGGGGCCAGGACATGATCTACAGGGGCCCCGGCCCCCGTGGGCTCCTGTCTAGAACCGCCCCTGCCATAGCGGTCCAGATGGACCACAGAACCTCTGACAAATGAACAAAGATGGCTGCTCTGGTTTCCGGTCTCTGGGCCGGTCCTGATGTGGTGGGATGGGATGAGCGGTAACCATGGTAACACGTACCAGACAGGAGGCCGATGAGCAGCATCACCACCCATCCAGACCAGGCGTCCAGGAGGCTCTTGATCAGCTCCCACAGGGACTCTCTGCTCTTACTGGTGATCTGCAGGTTAGACACACACACAGGGTTAGCTGGACTCCACGCAGCAGCCCCCACGCACCCTGCCCCCCCCCCCGGCCCGCGGACCTTCCTGTGCCGGTCCGTGTCCCTGGACTTCTCCCTCAGCCAGTCGATGGTGTGGAAGTCCTCGTAGGTCCCCACGTCCGGGAAGGGTTCGTCCAGGAAGTCCATGAGCGTCCCGGCGCCGTTCATCTCCTCCGTGGGAGTGGGAGCGCTGACACCTGTGCCCACGGAGGACATCGTTAAACCCCGCGTTGTTTATAGCGCGTTGCCATAACAACGGGCCTTACCTTCCGCAGCTTCCATGTTTCGCTGCTTCCGCTTGGTTTCCTGTTAGACCTGAGGAGGACAGCTGGACATCATGGAGGAAATCCACACAAACAAACCCACGGACGGGATCAGCGGCGTCACAGACTGCCGCAAAAGCCTGCCAGATCTCACGATACCTCCCAAATCTCGCGTTGTTTCAAACCTAGTGGCCTCTAGCAGCGAGATTAGCGATAAAAGCGGCTAATAGTTCAGTTTTTATGTAACAGCAGTGATATAAACACTTTATCCCGCTTTTTAAACATGAATGTTACAGTCGGTTTGAAATTAAAGCAACAAACAACAGCAGGACAAGAGAAACAGCTTCTTTCTTTGCGCGCTGACGTGATTTGAAGGCGCCATCTTGGGGCGGTCGACAGCTCCTCTCAGTGACGTGTTGAGCAGGAAGAGAATCAGTTTTAATCATCTTAAACTGAATATTGAAGAAATGTTCGATGTTTTTTTTTTTTTTTTTTGATGCTGCTGCTAAACATTTCCTGATTAGTCAAACCGATGCTAAAGTAGAACTTCACATGATGCTCCACATTCCTCATTTAAGGGAAGAAAGGGCTTCTTGTAGGAGTTTTTATAAAATACAACTTGTTTCTCGGAATTTTAGGATTTTATTCTCGAAACAGAAGAAAAAAAATCTCTAGCCTAGCCTTAATACTCCGTCGTAGCAAAGCACTCATACATTTTTATAACTATATACACAAAAATATTTAAACATGTATACACACATATATATGAACACATCTCTCTCTCTACATATATACATACCGTATATATATACTGTTTATATTTATGTATCTCTTTCTATTTATAAATATTCTGCAAAAATATTGTGAAATACTGTAAAAATATCCACAGTTGTATTGATTATTTATTCTTCAAATGCACAGTATTTATATTTGTAAAAATACTATAAAGTACAGCATTTTATTGGTCTATTTCTTATATTTATTTATTTGTATTTTATGTTAATGTTCTTTTTACACATGTTTTAGCTGTTTTTTATTTGTTTTTTTTTATCCCGTTTTATTAATATTTTTTCTCTACAGCACTTTGGTCAGCTGTGGTTGTTTTTAAGTGCTTAACAATTAAAAGTAGAATGGATTTTTTTTATTTAACTCTGTCACCTATTCTGTTATTTTTATACACCTTTTAAAGCTCCACATTTGTGTAATCAGATTTGCTGCTGTAACAGCACAATTTACCCCCTGTGGAACAATAAAGGGAGTTTCTATTCTATGTAGTGTATATCTGCTGTTTATTAAGTAATCTTAATCATCTTCCAAAGCTCTGATGCCTTCAGGAAGTTATCTTTCGAGCCCTGATGTCAACAGTCTGTTGATTTAAACAAAAATATGCTGCAGTGCTGAAGCATCCTTCTGTTCTGCTTAAACCAGTTGGTTAGGAAAGCAGGTCGACCTCCCCAAGATGGCGCCCGTAAATTCTGCGCCGTGCCAGTCAATGCGGGTTCTACTTTTATAAATATGTCTATGCACCTAGTGGTTGCAACCTGTAACCACACCACCAACTCAGAACTGGCTGCAAACTGAAAACATGAATCAAAACCTTCCATAAATAAAACAAAACAATTTATTATGTCTGATTGATATGTGGTGATTTTTTTAAAAGATAGTAAAGAATCAAATTTGGTCCAGAAAATCAAAGAGAAACAGATGAACAGCAGGAGTTTATTTTATTTTCACTACAGGGGATCCATATTTATTAATAAATATTTATTCAAATCTGGGAATGAGGCGTCAGAAAGCATTGTTTAAAAAAATTAACACTATTTACACTAATATTAGTGATCTATAAGTCAGCATTCAGGGAAGAGAAGATTGCTGCTGGAGGGTTTATATGAGCTATGGCAGGCCGTTATAACATTTATTCATAGATCTGCTCTCTGTTGTTCCATTCGTAGATCACTAAAATAAGATTCTTCCTGATCAAAATCACATTCCTAGTCGGAACTCTAATTACATATTTTCTAAATTAAATTTTTGCTACAGGAACTGAATTTAAAAAAAAAACATAACAAATTGTATTAAGAATTAAGGTTAAAATAACATTTACACATTTTAAGTGGCAGTTCTGACATTTATCAGTTTGACTAAATACATATTTATGATATCTGAAATACGTTTCTTTATAGTAAAAAAAAGAAAAGAAATGATGACCAGTAATATTAGGAATATGTAGATGTGAAATTAATTTTTAGACACAGAATGTTTATTCTAGATGTGAATAATGTCATTTTGTTTGAATTGGTCATTTTGGAAAACATTTTTATTATTCAGATATCAGGATTACATACTCGTAAAAACTATTACATATCCAAACGACTTGCCATATTAAGGGTTTATCTCTTGAATGTTAGTTGATCTATGCATCTATTTAGGTAAAATCATGTGTCAGCGGGTGAATATGAAGAATAAAAACGTTTTTGTAATCGATGGAACTTGTTCATCATCTCATGGGGTTCCTCCTCATGTTAATTCTGTCTTCCTTCACAGTTAATACTACGTAGCTGTTTGCAGCCACTCCAGATGTTATCTTCCCAATAAATGGTCGTTATTAATGGTTACTAGTCCCATAGAATGCCTTCAGATTGTGCCAGTAAGCTCAGTAGGTTGTTATCACCGAGTAAATCTTAATCCTAACCCTCTGGGGAGTATGTTACTATGGCAACAGAAACAGGTTGAGGAAACTCTCTCTGTGAAACGGAAAACTGTGAGTTTCCCTGATTTCTGGTTTAGAAACCTTAGAGTTTTCAGTAAAGCTGCTTCCTGGAACCGACCAGAACCAACAGAAAACCAGAACTGCGTCTGTTTTCAGGTAAAAACCTGCTGATTAAGTGACGTTTGGTGGGAAACGCTAAAAGTAAGATTGGCTTTTTTGTGGTTAGTGCATCTAAAGGGTTAAAACCTTTGAACCAGCGCAGCTTTTATTTCCTGTTTTCGCTTTCTGAAAGCTTCCTTCTGCAGGCAGCCTTCGCCTCGGTGAACCTCCGTTCGAAGGTAAAGTTTTAATTGTTTTCTTCATGAATCCCAGCTGAGCTGGAACCTGATGAAGGAGGCCGTTACTCAACAGAACCAGATCAGAGGCACAGAACTGTTGGTATCTGGTATCTGAGGGCAGATTCTCCTCTCTCGGTCCTCTGAAGAGGAGGAAGCTGCTGTTCCTTCCGCTCTCTGAGGCCCTGAAGGCGGCCTGGGTTCAGCCCCAACCTGGACGGAGAGCCGCTCACAGAACCACCGACCCACAGATCAGCAGGCATCATTTATTAGACTCATAGGCTGCAGATGAAATATGTTCTTCGTCCTGAAACAGGATCCAACTTCAGCGTCTGTCTCTGTTCTTTCTTCAGAAAACAGGAAAATTATCTGTTTATTTTACAACGATCTGCTCCATCACGGATAACAGCAACATTTTAAATTATCAGCATCAATTAAATAAGAAACGGTTTTCCTTATTTCCAGCTTCTAACATTTTTTCCACAATCCATTTCTTAATCTTTAACAACTTTAATCTTTTTATTTAACCTTGAGCTAAGGTTTCTGTTTGAAGATGTTTGCTCCAAACAGCTTAAAAGAAGAATTAAAACCTAATAAATAAAAGCAAATCAAAAAACTGAGACTTAAAAACTATAAATTGTCACTCCTCTTCTTATGTATATATTTATGATGTAAGCTATGTAGGTCGGTTCTTTAGTATTATACACATTTTTTTTTGCATTAAAATTATCAACCTATTAATCTTTAATTTTGTTTTTTTTGCTAAATAGATTACATTTTTTTATTTTTTTTTTATGCCGAAGTAAAGGACTTTGTTTGCGCTAGTTTTTCAGTATTTGATTTTTAATAATCTTTAAATCAGTTAACGAACAGGAAGAAACCTCCAGCAGAACCAGGCTCAGTCTGAGAGGCCATCTGCTGAGGCCCACTGGGGTTCAAGGAGACAGAAGCAGACATAGACAAAGGAAAAAGGGGTCCCTATGTCCTCCAGCAGTCTAAGCCTATAGCAGCAGAACTATAGAGATAGATCAGGATATCTCTGTATAACAGAAGAAAATAAATAAAATATAATAAGACAAAATACAATAAGTAAAATTATACCCTTCCCATATAAACAGCATAATATAAGATATCAGAATAAAATAAGATTGAGATTCTTTTTTTCTTGAATAATAAGATCAGGGTGAATCAGTTTAAAACAAGACAAGAAACATGAGGCAGCAAAGGATGCTGGGATAGAAACTGCACTGAATGAGTGCAGATCTGCTACAGTTTGATGGCCATACCTCTGTGTGAGGGACTCCTACAGTAATTTAAGCTCTGATACAGTCTATATAGTCCATCATGTCCGCTTTTATTAAATGGGATGTTTTAGGAAGTGTCCATCGCCTGAAAGTTGATTTAGAGCCAGGAAGATGAGTCAAACCAGGGAGTAGAAGATGAAAATGAATCCTGCATCCCAGGCTCGGACTGGGAAAGATTTTTGGCCCTTTGTCTATTACTATTACGACTACTTGAGATCCCTGAGTTCCTTACTGTCACAGGTAGGAGTTTCGGCCGGAGAGGAAGTGAGAGTAAGCAACCTACCGGACAAATGCCCGTTATCACAGATTACCAGTCCGAGTCTGTTTCCTCCTCAGATGAAGGCTGAAGGTGTGTGAGCCTCATGGATCAGTGTGAGAACAGAGAGGGCCCAGCCCCTCCCACTAACATCACTCTGCATGGAGAACCTGAGGAGCAGAGTAAAAGTCAAAGGTCAGATCACAGTCTCTAATTATCCAGGACTCTTCAGCCTGCAGACTCTGAACTGTGTGTTTTGTTGCAGCCCAGATCAGCAGCCCAATGCTGAACAACAGGAACCCAGCTGCTTGTCCTTCAAGAGCAACTGGTCAAAGGAAAACCCACTGGTTCACTTTAAAAAACGAAATACGCTTCAATCTGAGTGAGTTAAAGTTATGAAAGATTCCGGCGTTTAAAGTGCAGGTAAACCTTTAAATTCTTCCTGGTGTTTTTCCATTAGGTTGGATCAGCAGGGAGCAGAATGTCCAGAGTTTGAACCCAGAGGTCTGTCCTCCAAAGCTGCTGCTGCAAAGAGGTGAACTAAGACAGCTTTAGCCTG